TACTTGCTCTTTCCTTGTCCAATACATCGGAATATTAACCTCCAAACTAGCCACCTGGTGCAGAAAGTAGGATGTAAAACTCCATTCATTGTGGTAAGTTTTTAAAAAGCCTCATTCATTATAATTATAAAGTTCATGTCCTTTACTTACTCATTTCAAGTCTATATACATTGAAGAATAAACCTAGCTGTCTTAAGTTTAAAAGATTAATTCATAATTCATAAAGAGCAAGTTTGTGTACTCATTTCAAGTCTATATACATTGAAGAATAAACCTAGCTGTCTTAAGTTTAAAAGATTAATTCATAATTCATAAAGAGCAAGTTTGTGTACTCATTTCAAGTCTATATACATTGAAGAATAAACCTAGCTGTCTTAAGTTTAAAAGATTAATTCATAATTCATAAAGAGCAAGTTTGTGTACTCATTTCAAGTCTATATACATTGAAGAATAAACCTAGCTGCCTTAAGTTTAAAAGATTAATTCATAATTCATAAAGAGCAAGTTTGTGTACTCATTTCAAGTCTATATACATTGAAGAATAAACCTTGCTGCCTTAAGTTTAAAAGATTAATTCATAATTCATAAAGAGCAAGTTTGTGTACTCATTTCAAGTCTATATACATTGAAGAATAAACCTAGCTGCCTTAAGTTTAAAAGATTAATTCATAATTCATAAAGAGCAAGTTTGTGTACTCATTTCAAGTTCAAATACACTGAAGAATGGACCTCCATTATTAGCTGTCTTAAGTTTATATCAAGAAGTCGAAAAGCCTAATTCATAATTCATAAAGAGCAAGTACTTTCCCAATTGTTACTAGTCCAAATTTATTGGAAAATGTATCCCAGTTGTCTTTAGATCATATTGGTGAAATAAGGTAGTTGAAAATCGACATGTAACAGCTATTAGATTTGATTTATGATAATATGACTGAGGATGAGAAGATTGTTTGTGTCTATTATAAACCCATTCCAAGTCTAATATATTATATTGTGATTTTATCCTCCATTCCAGCTGTCTTCATTGTATCTCATATACAGGTTAGGTCATTAGACTTGATTTTTAAGATAAATGACTTCAAGAGATTGTAAAGAGGTTTTCTAAACATTTTTTCAGTATGGGGACACTTATAGTATCAACTTGCACCATTCCAATTTTCAACCAGACGTCTGTGGTTCCTGCAATTCCACTAAAACTAAGTGTTTGATGTCATCACTAATCCCTAAAATATTCTTTATCACATAAAGACTTTTTGATTGGTAACGTCATAATGCACTCAGTTTCAGTGGAATTGCAGGAAACACAGACATTTGATTGAAAATTTGAATGGTGAAAATTGATGATTTCAAAAAATATGTAGAAAACTCCTTTACTATCCCTTTAAGTGTGGAGATCGAGAAAAACCTTAAATTCATTTCTCTAACAATATGTTTCTTGTCACAGGGGCCAGAAAACTTGGGCAAGACATCCTTGAAGTTAACCCTCGGTGAATAAAATAATATTAAACATCATGCATAGACCCTGACTTCACCAAACAACTCGTTTAATATTAAATAATTATGTAGATGGTTAAAGAGTCACTATTTTGAAAGAGTTAAATATCTCATTTTGTCATTGAAATTTTATCTGTATCATTCATCTCAGCTGATTAAAAACATTCTTCGAATATTCTATGCCTTTAATCTGGTCTCTAGAGAGTAAACAATATAAAATAAAAGACTAAGAACTGACTGACTTTGTAGTCAGGTTGTAGGAATCTATTGATGTATAGGTGTTGTATATAGAATATAGTAATTAGTATAATAAACTCTCACCAGAATTACTTAATTCTTTCATATACTATTAATTATTGAGTAACAATTGTATAACTCTGTTGAATAGCATGGAACTCTGATTAACAACATGATTCAAGTTCTGTTTTATTATTTCTAACTCTGTATTAGCTTGGAATATTTCTCATTCTAAATGTTAGTTATTGATTCTTCTGGAACACCTAATGTCACTGGACAACTATGTTATAATAAACTTAGCATCCCTGTCTGAGAGTCCATATAGCTGATATTTTGAAGTTAAGGTTTGTTACTAATAGCTCCCCTTTCAGAGAGTCCACATAGCTAAAAAAAATTTTTGATATTTGTGATGTTTGTCAACTTGACCACCCTTTCAGGGAGTCCACATAGTTGATAATGTTTATTTGGTGATCAGGGTTGATGGCCAACACCTGGCCAACTATCACCAGCACTGGTCGTAGTATCAAATCACTAGCAGACATCAATCCAACTTGCTACCGACAAAGCTATAAAGGGGTTTTACATCCTACTCTTCTGCATTGTATTAAATTGTGTCAACCAAGATGAGGATATATCTATAAACATACCTATTAATATCAATCAAGCTACTTACCACCACTTTTTAAGGCCTCATCAATAAATTCGACAGCTGATTGGAATTCATCACAGATTCTGTATGTAGCAACATCTTGAGCTGGTATACCATGGTATTTAATGTTGACATCGTTATAGTACTCTTGATTGGTGTTCACCTGATTGTACCTGTTCCCTTCGCAACAGTTCACTAAATGTGTGATCTTCATTGCTGTTAGCTCATCTTTATCTTGGGCCACTACGCTGGAATACAAATATTAAATAAACATTACTAATGTAAACTCTTTGACAGGGATGCTGAGATGACAAACCCAAATTCAACATAAACATTATCAGTGATGTGGATGTCAAGTTTACAAATCCAGCCGCAGAGCTGAATTAGCTGATCTTGATGAGTGAGCATGCCCTGCCTAGTCTGAACCTGTATTCTCAAAACGATCTTAGCACCTTAGCACTAGGAGATCCTAGAAACAGTGTTAGAAGTTAAGACCCTAGGATATCCTAGAAACAGTGTTAGAAGTTTAGACCCTAGGATATCCTAGAAACAGTGTTAGAAGTTAAGACCCTAGGATATCCTAGAAACAGTGTTAGAAGTTAAGACCCTAGGATATCCTAGAAACAGTGTTAGAAGATAAGACCCTAGGATATCATAGAAACAGTGTTAGAAGTTAAGACCCTAGGATATCATAGAATCAATGTTAGAAGTTAAGACCCTAGGATATCTTAGAAAAAGTGTTAGAAGTTACGCTCCTAGGATATCCTAGAATCAATGTTAGAAGATAAGAACCTAGGATATCCTAGAATCAATGTTAGAAGTTAATACCCTAGGATATCCTAGAAATAGTGTTAGAAGATAAGAACCTAGGATATCCTAGAAACAGTGTTAGAAGTTTAGACCCTAGGATATCCTAGAAACAGTGTTAGAAGTTATGACCCTAGGATATCCTAGAAACAGTAATAGAGGTTAAGATCCTAGGATATCCTAGAAACAGTGTTAGAAGTAAAGACCCTAGGATATCCTAGAATCAGTGTTAGAAGTTAAGACCCTGGGATATCCTAGTAACAGTGTTAGAAGTTAAGACCCTGGGATATCCTAGTAACAGTGTTAGAAGTTAAGATCCTAGGATATCCTAGAAACAGTGTTAGAAGTTAAGACCCTAGGATATCCTAGTAACAGTGTTAGAAGTTAAGACCCTAGGATATCCTAGAATCAGTGTTAGAAGTTAAGACCCTGGGATATCCTAGTAACAGTGTTAGAAGTTAAGACCCTGGGATATCCTAGAATCAGTGTTAGAAGTTAAGACCCTGGGATATCCTAGTAACAGTGTTAGAAGTTAAGACCCTAGGATATCCTAGAATCAGTGTTAGAAGTTAAGACCCTAGGATATCCTAGTAACAGTGTTAGAAGTTAAGACCCTAGGATATCCTAGAAATAATGTTTCAGTTTAGACCCTAGGATGTCCTAGCGCTGAGATCGTTTCAAGAATACAGGGCCTGAATATACTGTAGACAAATGCAAATTTGCAAATATTATTTTTGTTAAGAAGAATAACTATTCATGATGAATATTGTATGTTGGGAATGGTGATAAAGTTCAAGTTTATAGACATAAACATCATTAGACTGTATTCAGTAGAATAAAACTTGACATAGTTTTTTGTTAAGAAGGTCCCTAGAGACGGGTTTTAAATATCTTGCCATAAACAAACTCCAGTCTCCTGAATTCTATTAAAGACACATAAAGACAGTCAAAACCAGACTGATACAATAGTGTGAATTAGTACAGTCAAGATATTACATTGTATAACATTGTTCTTAATCTATTCACTGTTTCTTACAACTACAATAGTCAATAGTTATCTTATTATGATTTGTTGAGAAAACCTCTTTCATAACACCATCAATTTTAGTCTATTTTGTGACTGAAGACAGTGCTACTTCATGACCGAAGACAGTGCTATTTCGTGACTGAAGACAGTGCTACTTTGTGACTGAAGACAGTGCTATTTTGTGACCGAAGACAGTGCTATTTTGTGACTGAAGACAGTGCTATTTTGTGACTGAAGACAGTGCTATTTTGTGACTGAAGACAGTGCTATTTTGTGACTGAAGACAGTGCTACTTCATGACCGAAGACAGTGCTACTTTGTGACTGAAGACAGTGCTATTTCGTGACTGAAGACAGTGCTATTTCGTGACTGAAGACAGTGCTTTTATGAAATTATGTTCTTATCACTTTCATGGTTTCTACAATTCATTTGGTTTAGTATTTAAACTATAATGGTCAATAGAAACTTCATTATAATTACGTTAGATAACCTCAGTTAGTAGTGCTCAAACCAGTCCTCTGTTCAGTTGTCTGGCTCAGTGAGTTAGATGCTTGCTCGCTTACCTGAAGGTCTCGGGTTCAATTCCGGCATATGTTGAGATAATACCTTCAGATTTTTCAACCCGGTTTCCCCCTGTCAGTGATGCAGGCAAGAGAGGCTGACATGGAAAAGTGTCTATTATTTGGATGGGACAATAAACCAAGGTCCTGTGTGCTACAGGCTGTACATGTTAAAGATCCCTCGACATTTGGAAATTGAAAAAGAGCAGGCTGATGCTGCTGTTAGACAAAATTTCCTTCATTGCACCCTGCATGGCGTCGCCCGTCTTTATTAGCCCACAAGGTACAGAAAAGAAGGTCGCAAGACTTCATTCATTTCATTTTCTGTCGTCCGTATTTCATTCATATCTTGACACAAGTTACGTATTGATATGATACAACTCGTTCAGTAGAGTTACCATATAAACTGTATAGTGAGACAGATATATCTGTTCTCATTAAAATATTTACAGAAGATATTTTCAATAACCTATTAATATGATACCATTCATTCAGTAGAAACAATACAAGCTCCAAATGTTTTTGATATAATTGTTGACTGAATTTTAACCAATCAAAACAATGTTTTAAATTCGAGAGGGTTTGCCTGTAATCTATGCCAGTTTTGTGTGTGCTTTTATTTACAAAACAAACGTATGTAGAAGCCTATTAATTGGCCAGTTTGAATATTTATACCTGAATGTTTAATACGTCGAAGTTTACAGTTTAATATATAATAGTTATGAAGAACAGACGTCAATCATTAGGTTCCTTCTCCATTAATTTCCTGTCTTAATCCATTGGCTTATCCCCCTTTTATAGATTTAATCAGTCAGAAGATTACAGAAATGGAATTGCAGGAACCCAAGACAATATCTCGAAGCTAGAAATTGTAGAACAATATTGATTCTTGATGGTTAATTTTCCCCTGTAAATCTTGGACAAGTCAACACTGACCATTATCAAGGAGATTGGTAATGAATCAGTCAGTTGACAAGATCCTTCAGAATTCAATTGTTATAGTTATTGTATGAAATTGGTGGTGCAGTGCAGTTGAGATTTAGGATGATATTCTGTCAGTGGTAGACTGTCTTTAGACTAATTGACACCCCTGCACTAGGCGACAAAAAAAGAAAACACAACACCACCGTTTGTTCAAAATGACCCTATACAAAGATTTCAGCAAATTTAAGAACAAAAAATTGTTTAATTGTTTTTGCCCCAAAATATGTGTCAGAATGCACCAAATGAATTTTTTGAAAATTTTCTTGAGAGATCCCTCTCAGACGCTCAATGAGAGGTTTGTGACTATGAAACCTCCATGTTGTTGAGTTACTGGATTTTGAAATCAGCCTGGACAGTTGTCCAACCCCCCAGCACAAATCTCCCCCTACCATTGAGTTTGTCTTCCCCATACTTCCCCCAGTTTTGGGAGGCTGACACTGCCATTGTGCTCTACAGTCGTATTTTGCAATTCGACATCAAGTTTCAATAGAAATCTAGGCTTTCCTCACTTCCATCATAAAACTTTTTTTATATACTCACCCATCTCCCAGGAACACGTCTGGATAAACTTCATCATATTTATGTTTGGGAGCAGGCGGAAGATCGAAATACTGGAATCCCAGAAAGGACATGGAGGATGGTTTTTTAGATGTGGTGTCCTTCGACGATAAATAATCGTGAACTTTGTTGTACAATTCATGGTTATAATATTTATTATAGTTCGTCATTCTTACTGTTTCTACTGAAAAATATTAAATAATAAAAATATTAAATAATAAAAATATTAAATAATAAAAAATATCAAATAATAAAAATATTAAATAATAAAAATATCAAATAATAAAAATATCAAATAATAAAAATATGAAATAATAAAAATATGAAATAATAATAATATTAAATAATAATAATATTAAATAATAATAATATTAAATAATAAAAATATTAAATAATAAAAAATATTAAATAATAAAAATATTAAATAATAATAATATTAAATAATAATAATATTAAATAATAATAATATTAAATAATAAAAATATTAAATAATAAAAAATATTAAATAATAAAAATATTAAATAATAAAAAATATCAAATAATAAAAATATTAAATAATAAAAATATTAAATAATAAAAATATTAAATAATAAAAATATTAAATAATAAAAATATTAA